ATAGAATAGATACACTCTTGAATCGTGAAACTACGTACAAATGCTAATCATGAATTTGTCACTTTGACGTTAAAATTACTACAATTATATTGATTAAAAAAATCATTTTGACTTTAGCTTCTCGTGTATCTTTCTCGACATTTCTTCTGATTTTCCAAACACCGCAAGGTGTGCGACGCTTCCTGTATTGACATCTGCCATAGAGAGAACAACAATTCTAACTTCCCCTTGCTCATTAATACTGTTRACTCTCTTGAGGAGGACGTCAGACGAGATCTGAAATCTGCCATCAGCAAGGTAGGTAGACACGTGATAAGCCAACGCGGCCATAACAGGAGCGAGCAATARCTGGGGGGTTGTACCATTCATTCTAGGGTWGACATCAATCACAAACTGATCATCTTTATTTGTCAAAATGTCGATGCCTACAATGCCAAAGTATCCTTGTTTATGCAGGTATTCCTTAACTGGGACTATCGTCTTGTATAACTGGTCTTTTAATCTAYCTTGCTCGGTCCAATCCACCAYACCGCCTCCCCATACAAGACCTTTTCCTATGATCTGTGTTGTAACTCCAAGCCAGTGAATTTCACCAGATTTAAACAGATAAAACTGTAAGCAGTAGTTTCCAGTGATATCTTGTATCATCTCGGTTATTACAGGTGCTTTTGCAGATTTCAGATTATCCTCCATTTCTTTTAGTACGGAATTCATTTCTTGTTGTGTATYAACTCTGTATGTTCCTTTCGTCCCTTTACCGTGTGCAGCCTTAACCATACAAGGCAACGTRTAGTTATCAATGGACATATGTTTGGGATACGTCGTACCCATATATGGAATACAYTGTTTTGATAGTATCCAGTAGTGYACGTAAGGATCAACAGCATGTTKGTCAGCGGGGATCACTTGRTGYGGGAATGTTACAACTATAGGCCCTTTCTCATTCTTTATTAACTCGGTGGATTTTATCACTGGCTCAACATACCCAGGAACCCAACGTTGCCAGTGATCCTTCAGGGCGTGGCAGGGGTACCCATTAAGAATCAGGGGTACGCGATTGCCTGCCACGGGACACGCCCTCAGGGGTAGAAGGTACTCGTTGTAGAACGAAGACGGCGGMGGAAAGTCGTAAATCAAAAACTTTTCGTCATTGACAAAAGTAAGGCTTGTGTTAGAACTCGAGGGAAACTCCAGTAGGACAGATCCTCCTTCTGGAATGTCTTGACTGATTAAATCTGTCAGCGTTACCATGGTTACAGGATGATCATTGTTGTCATGGTTACTGCCTGGCTCCGGTGCAATGAGGTCCATGCCGTTGTTAACTCTGAGGTTTTGATTCCTTTAAAGAGAAAATAAAGTTTACTTCATACCTGTCAGTCATACTGTGCTTCAAACCGTGTCTGATTTTACCTTATTTTGATTATTTTCATATGAGGTCGCCAAAAAGTACGAATTTGTGAGGCGTGAATTTAATATTAAGCAGAATTAGTAGTGTAGGACTCTGCTTCAACCAAAACTTAAAAGTATTATCCAAAAACGCCGATACGGTTTTTGCATTTTATATACTGTGAGTCGCATGAAAAAAGCGTGGCTAAGTATAGATTGCAGGTTAACATCTTAGAGCCAAGATTGTGGCTTCATAAAGCCCATCAATTTTTTATAATAATGTATTACAGATTTTGGTAACTAACCCCAAACATAATGTTCAGTCCGCATACAGCTTTAACGGATATACAACTAAAAAATAATAAACAACTACTAGACWATATTTTTGTTGCCGCGGCCGCGAAGACTTCAAACCACGAATCATGCATGAGTTCAAAGTTAGTATCATCTGCTGAATTCAGTGCTAGTTCATTTGTTTCTGATAGACATGCCAATTATCGTTAGACGATTCGACTTTTAGAAACGTCTCAGAACGCTTGGCTACTGTTTACAAGAAAATTTGGTAGAACAAAAAGTATAGTTTGTAATATGGCCAGTTTTCATGCTATCAGTAAATGCTTATAGGACTACTCTGGATTCTACGGCTTATACTTATTTGAAAACGTGGCTGCCTTACTGCAATTCCCGTGTCCCACCAGAGTTCTAGAATGGCGTTTTCTTTAAGGAATGTATTGAGATTTACTTTGAACGTCATTGTCCGGTATGCATCACAAAACGGCAAGAACAAAACTGACTGATCAATAGGAGTGTCCACTGATAACAAAAAAACATTGA